ACTAAAGAAGTTGCTGGCTGAGGAGGTACCGCCATAGGAGTCACTTGGGGGGCATCACCCGTCCTCGCCACCTTGGAAGAAGGAGGACTCCTGCTAGAATAGCGAGACACTACCACCTTTTTACTTGCTGCGAAAACAATAAAGTGTTAGGGAGGTGAAAAATACCAAGGGAAAGGGAAAATTAAAAGAGAAAACTGACTCACCCCTTTTCTTTGAAGAGGAACCACCAGATTTCTGAGAGGGAGCAACAACCTTAGTATCCTTGAGCAGAAAAGCTCTCAAATCTTTGTAAGAGCAAGCTTTGACGGCCTCCAACTTCCACTCCTAATCTTGAGAAAGCACAGACGTATCTGCAAAGGAATGGTGAACACACATAAAAATAGAAATAAGAAGAAGCAAATGTGCAGCGTACCAGGTTTTCTGGCTGCACCCCAATGTATTGGCACCAAAGATCTGTTGGCTTCTGCGGCCCACTCTCCACCAACAAAGAAGAAGCAAGATTTTCAGCCGCAACAATTGGAGCGCATTCCCGTGAGCACCGTACCACTTCTTGTGGTAAAATAGTACCACCCCCTATTTAGTGCAGGAGTTTCACTCAAATTGTATGCTGCATGGAACTCCACAGGAGAAACATCCTCATGGTGCACTTTTCTCCATAATACAAAAACGTCCAGCAAAACTCTCCAACCATTGGGCGCTAATCGCCCTAGAGTCGAGAAAAAATAATGCAAAATGCGGCAAATGGGAGGGGACATTGGGAATCTTAGCCCAGCCTCAAGCATTTTCTCGTAAACAACGATATCACCAGAGGAGACGTCGCAAGCAAGCTCACCCATCTTAGCCAAGCGATACAACATAGTCGGAGGAATACGGTAAGTAGAAACAAGCTTCAAGATATCTTTATTCGAATTAAACAAACTGGAAAGGGTACTCACCTTAGACCCATCGTTATCAAGTCCCAGTTTACCTTTTCGCTTCTTCTTTCGAGGTCGTAAGGAGTGGCCCGGGTTATTGTCTTGAGGGATTTGGCTTTGAGAAGTCACATTTGAAGGAGTCAAATCATGATGACCAAAAGCGACACCCAAAGCTTCCTCGTCGCCTGCAGTGCTTAGCCCAGCACTTAGAGGGGTGCCTGACGCTCTATGCTCTCCCAAACGAGACAACCCAAAACCTAGATAGGTGTCTGGTAGCCTCTGCTCACCAAAACAGGATAGCCCAGCATTGCCTAGCGCTCCAAAGTTGCACAAAACAGCTCCAAAGGTGCCCGGGTCAGCACCTAAAGAGGTGCCCTGATTTTGTCCTTATGCCCAGGCTGCTGCCCAACTCCCCTGCTGCATGCCTATTGGCCTGGGCAGCCCCGTTTTTAGCCTGCACATTGTTGTCCAGCCCACCAGACAGCAAGCATGCACTACCCAGTCCACCTGCCTGCGCGCTGCCCAATCCACCTACACTGCCTAGTCCGCCTGTGTTGTCCACCTGACTGGTTTGCGAGCTTGAGCTGTTTAGCCCACCATTTTCGGCACCCAGGCTGTCCAGGACAACATTTTCGGCACCAAAACTGTCCAAGACAGCACCTCCAGCACCCAAATGGTCCAAACCGGGCTCTAAACTTCCCAAACTAGCGCCTAAAGTGGCGCCTACCTCCTCCCTTCCTTCGATCTCCACCACTCCCTCTTCAATTGACATTGCCCACTTGAAAAATCCACTAGAAAGGAAAAAATCCCACCTATATATATATATATATATATACAAATGGGTATGTATATATATATCTATATACTCTTGGAAGGATTCAAGAAGAACACATTTTTTTCCTCTCAAGTTCCAACAAAATGGGTAAAACTTGGGTTTTTAAAGTTCTCAAGAATGGATGCTCAATCTCAAGGCAAGTGAAATGGGTAGAATTTGGGCTCTCAAGATTTTCAAGAATGGTTTTCAATCTCAAGGTGAGAGAAATGGGTAGAATGAAGAAGAAAACTATATTTATAGTCTAGGGTATTTTAAAAGGGGGAAAAACCCAAATTAAAAATTATTGACTCTCTTAAAAATCCTAGCGAAAGTGGGAAAAACTTAAAGTATGCACCAAAGCCAAAAATACATTACACAAATGAAGAGTCAATGCCTCCTTCTCCAAGTTTTCTTAGACATAGGAGGCATTGGGGGGTAAATGATGGGTCAAGCCCAAGAAGAACCCAAACCTCAATTGAAGAACTCAGTCTTATAAAGACCTATTAAGCCCAATATTGTCCAAGTCCAGTCTCATCAGTTCGACTACGTCATCAAGAGAGAGAGAGAGAGCACGTGAGCCTTACTTGTATTGCCAAGGAAACAGTTCACCCTCACCTTATCCTTGACCGCATCTCATGGAGAGCATCTTAACCACCTCGCCCGTTGAGAAAAAATCGTGAGCTCCATTGAAATGGTTGCTTAGTTGTTGTAAGATAACACCAACTTGTTAGGGGGCCACTATAAATTACACGCCCCACTAACACTTGGGGGGCATCACACATCACTTGAGCACGACTCTCTCATCTCCCTCAAATCTTGTACTCTCTGCTCCCCATACCTTTGAGTTAATAAAATACCTGGTAACCAGAGTCATTGAAGAGTGGACGTAGGTCAAGCTGACCGAACTACTATAAATTGTCTGTGTCTCTCTATCTCTTGATATTATTTTCCTGCATTTATTATTCACACTTGACAAGTGGTGTGCAAAACTATTTTGTGCATCATCATTCTCAATGTTTGTAATGATCGATTTTTTTTTATTGTATATGGCCTTCTGACACGGGTAAAAAAAATGAGAATACATTGGACAAGAAATTGGTTTATGGTAAGTGACTATAAAGTTTCTGTCCTCTTTTTTTTTTATTGTTCAATTGGATTACTCTCTATATGTATGTATTGTTAACAATTTCGAACTTGCGCACAAGATGTTTAAAAAAATGTCTAAGAAGGATTTAATTTCTTTGAAAATGTGATGTTATTAGTAAATGCAACCACATTAGAAGCTGAATGGCCGCTGGGTTGGATGTATAACTTTTCACATTATTTAGATCTAAATTCTCTTGATTTTTTGCGAACCAATTCTTAGTAGTCAGTAATTAATTTTTTAGTGTTATTTATCGTATTAACTGTGAAATAATTGGGTTATTCTGTGGATCTTTTCCTGAAGTAATTTGTATTTCCTACTGTATGCATTTGTCGTTGATACCAACATTTCACTGCCGCAAACCTCCCAAGTACTCTTCACTCACTCTCTGTGGACCCACGCAAAACACCCCCTACCCACAATTTCTCATCATCTCGTCTGCTTCTCTCCACCACAATTATCTTTTTCTACCCTTTTCTTTTGAGCTTTTACCCTAACCCATGGGGTTTTAAAAAAAAATTATCCAAAAGATGGTTGTTTTGAAAATATTTCTCAAACCCAAATAATTTTAAAAATGTTAGTTAAAATGACATTTTTTAGACCAAAAAACGTCAGTTGGAGTAACGTTTTTAGGTTAAAAACGTCAGACCAACTGATATTTTTTGTGCAATAGTTTAGGTTTCAATGAAAACGTCACCACAACTGACGTTTTTATATTTCTTTTCGGAAAATTATACTTAGACCTCTGAAATTTCTCACTTAATTACTTAGGTCTTTGACATTTGAAATATTACACACAGACCATTTGAAATATATACATGCGTAACACTTAGACCCTGTTGTAAATATATCTATTAATAAATTAAACTTAGACCCCCTTAAAGTTTGTAGGTATATAATACTTAGATCTCTTAAGTTTAAAATATTATACTTAGACAAAAAATACTCAAATCAAGATAGAATATTAAATATTATAAATTTTACAACTAATCAAAAAATTAGTTGATATTCTATATTTAAGATCCAACATTAACGCAGTTCACCTCTTTTGTGCCAACCAGTTATGAAAATTAACACAGTTTACCTCTTTTTGTGACCCTCTGTTTTGAATGATAACTGTCTCAGCATCCTTTTGGTTTTGGGCCCAAGTCATTCTCCATTCAATAGACATCAATATTTATCGTCAGATGAAATTAACAGGCGAAACCTGGGCACTTGTTAAAAGTAGGTGAATGCACTTGTCTTAAAAGATTAGTGCAGCATGGCAGAGCTTTCAGACACATAAATTGGATGTGTTCATGGTTATTTGGCGTAGGTCTTGTGCTGGGAGGCTGTCTAACTTGTTTATATTGGATCTTAGTATCTTACTCATAAAACTTTTCTCAGGGAATATTTTGAAGATGTTGATCGCACTTGGGAGACATTTGAGAAGACATTATGGGATCATATTCGCAACTTCTTTAAACTTGCTAAAGAAAGGTAGAACTGTCTTTTATGAAGATGCCTCAACTGATGAGCTTCTCACTTATATTTTTATATTTTTGGTGTTAATCATTTGTACAAACCTTAGAGCTAAATTGTAGTATAATACTTGGGATGATCTGGATAAGCATTTTCGTGTTTTTACCCCAGATACTAGTGTGATTGGCAACGGTCTCTATTGTGCATCTCTCAATAAACCTTCTTATATCTTACTAATGTCCTCTATATGTTTTATGATCCTTATGATGCTTATTTGTCATTTTGTACCTTTTTTGCAGCCCACAAACTCCTGTTCGTGCTTTGAGGTACGGTAGATTTCGGTGGTCGATACTGTTGATTGTCTTTGGTGGCAAAGAGAGGGAGTTAGACATTCTGTTTTGCACTTTACATAAATATGTGGTCTCAAAAGTACTGGGAGAAGAAAAAGATAGCATGTTATTCCCTGATAAGGACTATTGTGTTACACAGAAATGAAAAGGGATGTTTTGATTTTAGGAAAAGATTTACAGTGAAAATAGTTCACACTATAAAATAACCCGGACAGTAGTATGCATAATTATTACCTCCATTTCTTGAAGGCAAAATTACAAAAACAGAATGAAAGTTGTATTGATTAGAAATTATAAAGAATAAAGTTGTACCTTTCTCATATGTGTTGTACTGTCTTGTTAAGATCACCCATCCAAACACACTCGATATCCCTGGTGCTAAGATCACGCATACAAAGCCATTGATCTTTGCTGGTGTTCACTCTTTCAAGCTTCGGTGTGCATAGCGGTCCGGAACAAAAAAATTTCAATTTCGGGCAGTTGCTTATGTGCACTTGATCTAATGAGGGAAATTGAAGTCCACACTTTCCAGAGTAGAAAACGGTTACGTTTTCTAGATTAAAAAGGACTAGTCTGCTTAATCGTGGGAACACAATCACTTCTTCTCCTTCTTGGTTTGTGACTATGTCATCCATAATTCTGATTTCAGGGTAACCTTGCCCTGTTTCAATAATTTCTTCCATCATCTCGCAATTTACAAGGCGTAAATCTCGCAGATTCACAAGTAAGTTTACCATAACAGGTGACAACAGATATCTCAAGCTCCCACAATAGGAAATTTGAAGTGTTTTCAAATTGTGGAAACCTTGAAGTCCTTTGGGAACCATCTTCCATATACGCATTAAGTTAGATGAATAATGGATCTCCAATGACTCTAACTGACCGAGTATAACTTCTGCCTGTTCACCCTTAGCTTTTAGCCCCTCCAAGTCAAACACGACTTCAAGTGCATCACCACCCTCTATTCGAATGCTTTGGACGCTTCGAAACAGTTCTAGTTGAGCCGCTGCAGCCAAGTTCAACAATCCACAATCTGAAACAAATATGTATCGTAGTTGGTCAAAAGACCCAACTTGCATATGGCAGTCCACTATGTGTACTTTGTTTTTTCCGAGCAACTCTAGCATCTCAAGGCTAGGCAACAAAACCTGAAAATATTCAATCGGTGTGTCATAAGATTATTCATGAGGATCACACAAATCATATGAATGATGAAAAAATGGGAGTTACCTATTGACAATATTGTCATCGATTACTCAACCCTCAAATAAAGGCAAGTCCTATGTCACTAACATTGCATAGTCGTCAGAGGTCTTAACTGATGAGAATAATCTTAGTTGATAAATATTTTTAAATTTGGATTTTTTCAAATACTCCAAAGGATTTTGTAATTTGAAGTTGACACTAGTTTTTTTACATACTCATAAAACTGTATATTATGACAAAAAAATTTAAATTCTATGCAACAATAATATGATTCCATAATTTTTTTTAAAATTACAAGATGAATCTCACATGTCCAAATTTATCCAAACATTTTGGTAAAGTATTTGAAGCGTGGCCAAAAGGTACTAGTCAATTTAGGCATTGAATTTTATAAATTGATGTGACAAAAAAAAAAAAGATATGTTAACCAAAAAAAATCCCCCCCCCCCCTAATGCTGGCTCTGTCATTGCTCAAAGGATAGACCTCAAACCTGTTGTTCATTATTTTTGGGCCATATTTTTGTCATTTCAGTTTTCACATATGTTATTTTACACTGGTCTTTTTAAAAATTGCAAATCTCACTTTTCAATTCTTTTGAAGTTTTTCTGCCAACCAATTTTCAATCTCTGTTGCGCTCAATTTCTATTAGTTATTCGTATTTTCAATTTAGTAGCTTCAAGATTCATAAACACCATGTTGACCAGAATGATTGTAAATTTTGGTGAAAATAACAACTACTAAGAAGTGTTAGTATGATATAACCAACCTAGGTCAGATATTCTCAGATATTCTAACCAACCTAGAAATGTAAACCAATATCAACAATTAATGAGTCAGAAGTACCTCTATACCATGAGTTACATAATTCAAAATTGGGGTTGGGAATTTCAAACACTTTTATGTCTTATTTAGTGGTGACCTATATCATCTGTCTTAGTATTTTAATCGATTCTGTCTCCTAACTTTACTGTCATTATTACTTTCCTGTTAACAAAATCGATTTTGTTTCTCTGTATTTGACTCGAATAGTTGAAAAATATTACAAGCTAAGAAAAATATTATTAATAAAATTATGAATTTAAATGTTTATCAAACTAAATTTTATGGCTAAAGTGATCAAACAATCAGCACACATCAAGTGTAGTGGACTACGTTTTACAAAAAAACATATATAATATCTAGTCCAAGCATGGTAGCTCACAATATCTTTTTGTTCTTTTACAAACAAATTAATGTTTCCAATAATTATCATATGATATGAATTATATACATTTATTTTTAAATTCCTATGTAACACTAGAAAAGGATTTTCTATTAATTGTTATGTGATCCCCAAATGTACTAAATTGGTTGTAGTTTCTCTATGTTGGGGAGTTGATTATGGTGGACGAAGGTGCTGGAGATGATCATTGAAATCATTTTGGGGTTGTGGAGAGAAAAAAATAAAGGAATGAAGGAAGAATTTACAAGTGGAGCAGATTGGTAAAAATCAAATCCCTTTGGTGAAGATTGATGGCTTTAGAGCTGTCAACAAGTCCCTTTGGTCCACTTCAAAATCTAAAATTATGTATTTGGATCCAGAATATCAGCAATCGAGTGCGATTATGCTGATAAATAAGATAATTATGGTTTTTCATTGTTGAATTTAAATGGTATAATCTCTAAATAAAATATCAAAAAGTCCTTACGAAATGTTTAACAACCCTACTTGTAATTAATTTAATAGAATTACATCTAACACTACTTTGAGTCATTAATATTAATCAAGTATCATAATTTAATTCAACTAAATTTTGAATCTGACTTAAAATTATATCGTAATTCTACTCTGTATTACTAAATTTCTCAAATCTGCATATTTTAGCTCAATTTTCTGCATGTTCATGTTGAAAATGGCAGGAGAGAGAGAGAGATTATTGCCAGATTTACTGAGAGAAAATGGATGGTTATGAAAGATGGTGAATTTGGTGGTTTGGCATAAAAAATGACTTAGGAGAAAACAACTGTGGTGGCTATGGAATTCTTTTGTGTGATAAAATACATTTTTTGTCTTTAAAGTATGCATTTAGTGTCTATTTGATTTCTAATCTTCCAATTTTGTTTATTTGGTTCCTAAGGTTTATAATTTGTATCCAACTGGGTCAATCCCAAACGCGGTCAAAAAATCGTTGATAGTTCAATTACATGGTTCCTAATTTTGTGTATATTTAGTCCCAAAAGTTCCTAATTTGTGTTTATTTGGTCTCAAAAGTGCCCAATTTGTATCTATAGTTTAATTCCAAACCCTAAACCCTACTGTTATTGGAAAATAATTTGGGGACTAAATATATACTGATCATTGAATTGATAGTAGACTACATTTAATGTTGAAACAGATTGAAAATTTAATAGTCATATCTCCAAATTATGTCTTAATAACATTACACTTAAGTTTAAATAGCAGTGCCCTTCTAAAAGTAACCCTGTTATTGTTATGCAAAAGTAATTAACGCTATTCAAGAGCAAAAGCATACCTGTCTGTGGAACAGACTTTCTATGGCAACATTGTCTGAGTTGGGGTAGAAGCTTCGAAGCATTGGGAGATCATTCAAGCACAAGTGCTTCAGTTTTGGAAACTCAATTCTTTCTGTACTTTTTTTGCCTTCTTCCTCTTCCTTGGCAACAATATATTCCATCTGAGAACACCAGTATATACCTAGTTCTTGGAGTTGCACGAAGCTTTTAACTACGGACCCTGTGAAAAGACTCTTCATGGCAGGTAGCCTCAATAAAGTTAACTTTTTTAGTTGTCCAAATCTTTTTCCCGGCAGAGCCCTATGAATAAGATATTCAAGCTCATAACAACTACGAACCAAAAGTTCCTTCCAATTTACAGATTCCTTTTCATCTAGTTCATCGAAAAGATTCCTTCCCAAGCCCTTCATATCTAATAACGTGATAATTTCAGATCTCTCCAATAACGTCCTAAGTCCAATCCCAAAAAGCATGCCCATGTCAGAAGATAGAAGGACCAATTCGTTTTGGAAATGATATTGATCCAGTGTTCCAGCATAAGTCCCAATCGAAATTTTAAATCTTGTCAGATTGTCAAAGCGAAAGTCTTTCAATTTTGGCATATATTCAGCACTTAAGAAAATTTCTAACGTGTTCAGATCAGGCAATGAATTCAACTCCGCGTGTTCAGCCCTTTCCGAAAAGTTTTTTCCCATGTATAACTCTTCGAGTCTATTCAAGTTTGACAAAACACCAGGTGGAAGTCCATCACTGACAAAACACCTCAAATCCAACAATTTTAGATTACCGAGCTCTCCGATCTCGCTTGGTAATGCACGAAGAGTTGACATAAAAATGCTGAGAATTTCCAAGCTCTTTAGGCTTCCAATCATTGATACGTTGGTGGTGTCCAACTTGCAAAAATCTAAACACAATGTTCGAAGGTTCATCATGGATTTGAGTGGTGGTGGTGGAAGTTGAAGGAACATGGATCTTAAACTAACAACTCTGAGTTTTGTCATCCCTTCAAAAAAATCCCCTGAATCAAATTTAGTACAAAATTCATCCTGTTCCCTACTTTCGTACCTGCATTGCAGCTGTAAAATCTTGAGGTTTGGACAATCTAAGCCAGCTGGAAACTCATTAAATTCACCAAACGTCAACGAAATGGCTGAATAATGTCGGAATGTATCTTCTTGGGGCCACTTTTTCAAGCCCGCATCACATCTTACCATAACTGCATCCTTACCCTTAGATGCAATTGATATGCATACATCTCGTACAACATCATGTAACTTCACACTCTCCTCATCACCAACTAGTATCAAGTGACAGCTTTTGAGTTGATCGATTAATGAGTACACCGTTTCTCTTGCCTCTAACACGGTCTCAACATTTTCAAGCAAACATAGCCCGACAGCATATCTCACCAAGCATTCAATAGGAATATCATAATCTTCTGGAAATAAACTGCAAAGCCGAAGCAATGATTTGGATTCATCCCTTTCCAACATATCATAGCTTAACTTTATAGCCGTTTCCACCTTTTCTGGAATTTTAGTATTTCTCCTTAGTTCTCGAAGCGCAACATTCCATGAATTCTTCTCTTTATGTTTCAGTGCCTTGGCAAGAGTCACAATTGCAAGAGGTAACCCTCGACATTCATCCGCAACTTCTTTTGCCACAGGTTGTAACTCAGTATTATCATCTTCAATTCCTGCCTTCTCCTTAAAAAGATTCCATGCTTCGTAATTAGCTAGTAATCCGACTACGAAGTTCTTTTGAGATCCCATCTCGAGACACACATGTTCATTTCGAGATGTCAATAAAACTTTACAGCAGTGCTGGCCGACTCCAAAAGGAATTCCGAGTTCCTCCAACTTAAGTTCTTTCCAAACGTCATCTAATATTACAAGAATCCTTTTGCCATTTGACAATCTGGTCCGAAGTTTATTTGCTCTGGCGAGAAGGCTAGTTTCATCACTCTCAAATTTCAAACCCAACATGCCTCCAAGGTCGCTTTGAATCTTCATGAAGTCCTGATTGTCGGACACAACAGCCATGACAACCTCATCAAATAACTTCTTAACTTCTACACTTTTGGCAACTTCTTGCACCATTGTTGTCTTACCCACCCCAGGCATACCGCATATCCCAATCATCCTGATCTCATCATCCTCCAAAGCATCCATAACTTCTTTTGTAGTCGCCATCCTAGATTCAAAGTCTTTGCAATCTTCTGTTATTACAATCTTCGGCATTGGTGGTGCAGGGTATGCGAATGAAATGTACTCGTTACCTTTATTTTGGAGTTCAACTAGCTTCTCAGACGTTTTCTTGGCATTCCTGCTCAGCGAGTAACGCACAAGCAAATTTGGACACCACCCATTCAAACACCCCCTTTCAACTTCAGCTCTACGTTCAAGAACTTTGTTTGCATCATTCGTGGTCTCAACTGCTTTGTTCTGCCAGTCTTGAACATGTTTTCCAACAATTGCTAAATTTCTTTCAGCTGCGTCTGCCCGTCGCTTTACCCCATCTTCCACATTTTTTAGATTCTCGACATGTTCGGTCAGATTCTTAATGTTGGTTTTGTAGCAAAACAGATATCCAAACTGACGTCCGATTGGAACAACCAAGTAACCTACAAACAACTCTGTAAATTTTCCTAAGACAGAGAACCCCATTGTAGTAGGTGCCATTTCAGAGTTGAGTAAAGATTGCCAGCAAATGTAGAGTAGATCACCAGATTCTGAGGGAGGCGTATCAACTGCAAATTGACAACAGAGTAAATAATAGGGTATGGAGAAGGTAAAAGTGAGAAAAAAAAATGGATTGCACCAATTCTACTATATTAGCTTGGATTTCTTATTAGAAGCATTTACAACAGTTACTCCTTTTCTAAATCTAAATTGAAATTTGGGTAAAAAATTCCTAAAAATCTTATCCAATGTCAAACCCAAACACATAGTAAATTTGAGTCAAGCTTTGAGACGCTCTAAAGCATTGTGCGGCTACCCTGCTTGATCCAACTATTAGTGAACTACTTGAATCTACTTCCTACTTGGTGTCATTTATTCCAAAGGATAACAGAAGTTTATGTACATCGACATTGTGATACCTAAATGAAACTTGGATCTTTGGATATACTATTTGATTAGATCCTCCAAAATACTTGATGCTTCTCATTAAATCAAAAGTTGATAGTCTGTTCTAGGATTAGATTCAAGTCTATCTAAGGGGAAAAAAAACTAGAAAGCATGATGGAAGTAAATGTTGTTCTTAACTCATCTCCATTTTTAATCATTTCTAAGCACACAGAAAATAAATTGAAGTAAAAGCTGTTCAAAGTGAAAGGTAATTAAGCCAAATCAATTTAGACATACCTCTGTTTTTTTATCACAATGAACAAGAGGGAAGAAGCAAAACAGATTTTAGCAGTCAAAGGCAGAAAGCAGCAGATTTGCATTCAGCAGTCAAT